GTGTACGTGATTGGTATTTGTTACGCCAAACGAAGTCGACAGCATGCGACAGTTTTAGCCTCGTGAAGTGTTTTGCCCTTAAAACGTCCACATGCACGCTAGAGAGGGCGATTCCTCCGTTGAGTTTGCCAATACCTTTGGCCTAAACGTTGGCACCATCGACTCTGAGAGTCCGAGAAATTTTAATCTTCGCCACCCAAAGAAATTTTTTGAATTAAGAAATGATTTAGAAGCTGTGCCCTGCAAAAGTGAATAAGTGGGTTGCAAGAATAAACGGTAATTGAAGTGACAGAACGGCTGAAGGGTAATGGAGCGGGAGGAAGTTTTACGCTTTGAATGCATATTCATGCAAGAATATTGTCATAATTAATATTTGTTTCTACGAAGCCCCTGCCGTTCCTTTGCTGAAGATACATGTCCCGGAAGAAAAGTGTGACCATTTGTTGGCATCTGTGAACTACACGGTCAGTATCAACTCTTCGTATATAGCAGTATAACTATGTCTGTATTGTGGTAAGTTAGAAGGTTCTTGAGCTCTGGAAGAACAATTAAGCTCACCATGGTCCATTGCGAAAAAAGATGATGCTACTACATACGGAGACAAAAGAGCGTCGATGAACACGTATGCTGCCAAATGGATGTTTATAAAAACAAAAAAAGTAAATGCCTAAAATCAAAAGTGATGTTCACAGCAAAAGGTTTTTTCTTATAAAATTTGATGTCACTGCTAGAAAAGAAAAGCGTCGCTCATAAAGATGTCAAGAGCCTCATTAATTGGTGCCGATAATGTCAGGCTAACACGAGTGGGGATTCACAAAAAGACTGATTAAAGGTGTAGAAATTCACGAGGCCTTATCAACATGTAGAAATGTAGATTTGCCATAGTCTCAATGGAATACTACTTAAGAAGTCGAGTTGTTACGTGGCCATGCTTAAGCACACCGTAGTTTTTTGTGCTTGGGCTTCACTGGCGCGATTGGTGCATCTTAATGAAAGACTACAAAGTCTATTGCGCAAAATCAGTGCCTTTATGGCGAGTCGAATCAGCGTCGTGATGTGACTTCCTAAGTTGCAGTTGTCACGTTTCTAGATGAGTTTAGCCCCCCAAGTTTTGGTTTTTAGTCGTTATAAAATTAGTATTACGCTTGTGGTCACAGTAGAAAGAATTTCGCTCATAGTTTTCTAGGCAAACACCCGCGCATATATAGTAAACAAGATTTGGTCATTAGCAATTTAAACTAGAGCTTTGTTTCCGTTCCTAGAAAAAAGTTGCATCCACGTGCAGCGCAAGGTGTCCTGGTCGTCAACCAGAATACCAGCCCCTTCGCAATGGGAGTGCTTGTGCTGTGAGTATGAGCAGCGTCTTGTCTTGTAGCGTGAATGTTTCGGCAAGTTGGTACTCGTTTACACAAAACATTGAAAGCGAGATAAGGAAATGCAAAAGAACGCATACAAGAATCGGACAACAGCAGGGATGCCTCACGTGTCGGTGTCATCTCGCTTGTGCGTTCATTTTTCGCAGAATGGTTATCTTGATGAACTTCTTGTCAACATTGTCGATTCCAGACTTTTGCATCCTGATCTTTAGTACAGGCTGGTGGCATCGCGAATAGCTTGTGATACACTACGGTTATCTTATGACAGTTGGACTCGTTGGTTTTGCTGTACCTTTCATACGGTCGTTCTGAAGACCGCCTCTTAACTAACTCTTCATTGCAAGGTTTTACACTTAACTTCTTGCATGCGGCACCATATAGCAGAGAAGAACTGTGCACCAAACGCGTTTTAAGCCGTCATATTTCTGGCTTGCAAACAGTCACATCACGTTGTCTTAAAAAAAAATTACTGGCGTGATGTATAGGATGCTTCAAGAAATGTGTCCACTGCTACTGAATATCCACAGAAAGGAGGTATCTGCGTGCTACCCGTAACGTTACCTTCACTGTAGAAGAAAGCATCTTTAGATGCATACAAACATTACCTGCAGTAGTAACTACAAAAATTAACATAAACTCATTTTTATCACTGGAAGTAAGTGGCCGAGTCGAATTGGCTTGTTGAATCCTTCCTGTGAATAGTATACAGCCAATTCGAAATTTATGAAAGGCGGCCAATGGTAATCACAGTGAGGCAAAGAAATTTGGCTTATTCAGCAGGTGAAACCGAAACCAACGCACCAAAGAGCGCATATATGCATTCACATCAAAATCACCCTCAATGCTGACAGTGTTTCCCTCACCGTTATCTGCTGTCAATCTGCATACTTATTTTCAACGTGGTTGTTCCCTGCCGCATGGCCGCTTATCGACGCTCGCATGTCTTCCTCCGCCGATTGGTTGGTTGCGAAACTTTATTGCAGTCCTGCAAGGCGCGCGTCAGCGTGCAGCGGGCGGCTCCCACGTCGGTACCGTTATAGGCCAAACCTATGCGAGGAAAACAATGTCGTCATTGAGGGCGTTTTTGAAGTGAATGGTGGAAGCGCTGTTTCGTGCGTCAGTTTCAGTTCACCTGCTAAATTAGCCAAGTTTCCTTACCAGTCGTCACCTTTCCGAGAGAGAGAGAGAATAAGAATAAAGAAAGGAGGGAAGGAAGTATGTAAGAATAGTGAGAGAGAGAAGGCAGGGTGGCTAACCAGGCACATGCTCTGTTTGCTACCCTACGCTGCCGGAATGAAAAAGGGTAGTTAAGAGATGAGAGAGCAAAGAAAGAGAGACGATGGAGAAGGAAAGAAGAGAGGTAGTCAGAGGCGTTCACAGAGGCCCGCAGTCTTCGGAAATCAGAAGAGAATATGACTGCCTTGTGAGCGGACGAAAGACGAGGTTGGTACTCCATCTGCACAGAGAGTGGCCGATCGCGCGATTGTCACAATGCGTCACAAAAAAAAAACAGGAGTATAAAACTAGCAGAAATGATAAACTATCCGGCAGCAGTGTCACAAGCGGTCTCCATTAGCTGTATTATCAGTTACGTCGTTCGCAGCGTCGTACCTAAGCACGCGCACTATTGGCTGCGATGTGAGTTAGCTTCAGATGTCAAACACCAATGAGTTGGGCCGCAATATCAAGAGCTTGCAACAACGTGGTGTTGCGGCGTCAAGTCATGACTGCAGGAGCGCGTTCAACGGGGCGAGCGCCCGCTTTCGGCGGGAGTTTCTTCAGCGGCACTTTGACTTCGGCGGCGACGTCTGTCACCGCCTATGGTTCGAAAACAACCACTGTGAATAACGCAATGCATAATGCATTTAACCCCTGATTGCATTTTTCCATGACCATGATAATGCGAGGCATGATGTGTGGCATGTGAAATAAACACTGTGGCTAAACCTAGGGAAAGCGTGTGTATAACCTCATTAGGAGACATGAACATGTAACCAAGAATTGTGAAAAGCTGAACTGAGCACCGGGTTGAACACACTGCTGAACACCATGGCCGAAAACTTCAAATTTCGCTGGCTAACCATTTCTACGGAGTGCCTAGGTGGTGAATTTTTTTTTCTTTCAGAGGCAAGTCGAGGGAAACGGCATAGCACATTGTCAACGACTTTTTCGGTACCACAGACCATACATTCCGCTCTGTCGGTCACCTCAATCAGGGTTGCCTATGCTTTTATGAAGGCAACCGCCATCGAAAACCGAAAAAGAAGTGGTTTCCTCTCGACGAAGTAGGGATGGAGGTCGAAGTTCCGGTTGAGGGTTTATTTGGTGGAGTCTTGTTTGTGTTAAGAAATTTTAAAGCGACTATGAACTCTTAGTAGGAGAGAGTTGAATTTATCCATTCGACTCAACCGCTTACTTGCACTGGTTAAAGAAACGTAAATGTAATAAATTCTACATTTACTGCCATCATTATTGTTTGTTCGCATCTGAAGATGCCTCTTGCAACACTGAAGGGAACGCCACAAGTAGCTGTATGGTTAGCTATAATAAACACATTTCTTATAACGCCTTGTACTGCGAGACTAGGAGGGGGCACAACAGTCATCGAATGGCTTGACTTGGGACTGAGTTCTTCCTCTCATTCAAGTACCATGGTCTATTGCTTTGAGGTTGCTGCTCTGAAATTTGAAAATGTAATCGCGTACATGTGAGAGGCCGAGTTCTTGTCATTTCAATTAGAGAAGCTGATTTTCATACGGGAAAGAAAGAAGGCTCCATTGGGAAGCACTAGCAGTGACTATCAACAAAACCTAACTGCGTGAATAAATTATGAAACGCCCGTAATTGACTGCGTATGTTTGCAAAGCGTAAGCAAGTATTTTTTGTCAGGTACCAGGGCGTGAGAAGCATCGTTGCGCTGAAATCAAATGTAAAAAAAAGCGCAGCAAGTCTTGATAGAGGACATAAAAAAAAAGGTGGTAGGAAAAGTGTGCTGGTTTCGTGTTCTTAATATATGGCACTTTTATTTATTGTTTTGCTTTCTTAGCTGAAGGAGTCGTGGCGATCGTACAAACGAGTTACGGAAGTCGGCGAGTGCCATGCAGGAAGCTGCTTGAATAAAGAAGGTATGTACGACTTGAAAGCCGCCTGTTTCAGTATTTGTCATGTTCGACTTTGAAGAGAAAACGCAGACCTTCCCGGAAGGCGCAGCACAGTCACAACGAACTTAAAAGAGCAGTTTTTCAGAGCCTTTTCTAGACACTATTGTTTTTGTTCTTGTTGCCCTTCACTTGTGGCTCATACCCACTGTGGGGGATCGGGCAATAACTGAGTGGTCTTATGAAGTATTATTCAATTTTAGAGTAAAGGTACTTACAAACTGAAAACGCTGCAAATTTTAGAATGGAATTTGATGATCACTATTCTGTACTGACTATAATGTTTTGGTATTAGTAATAGATAATAACATAGATCAAAACCTAACTTAAAAAAAAGAGAAGTTTTTCGTACGTTTAAAACAAAAGAATAGTATTAGTTTGTTAGTCTGTTTCATTCAGATATTTCCGCACTGCCTCGCAAGCTTTAGCACTGGCAAACCCAGAAATAGAGACTCCGAAGGACAGAATCAAGGGCATAGATAAATTCATTCCAAAAGCACGTGAAGGATTTTCTAACTTGGATCTACGAGCTGTAGTACAACGTCTACATGTCAAAAAGTATTAAAAGTAATAATTTATAGTTTCTGGCTCGCCACAGAAAGCGCACATTGGAGAAAAACCCTGACCAGACCTGTATTAGTAGAAATTTAGTTTGGGCACCCTACAGTGCAGCCTCGTAATTGCGACTTGTAGTTGATGTGTGTCACAAAAGAATCGGTGCCAGGAATATAATAGGTGCTGATATTTAGTCGAATTTGTGAGTGATGTACCTGTGGAGCTTTCCATAATGGTACGCATGTGAAATCGTGCAGCCGTCACATAATCGGATGGTGGAAAACATGGCAAAAATCGGCCCACTCATTTGCTGACTTCACTAAAGAGTCGGCCATTTCGTTTAAGTGGAAACCTTTATGACATGGCACCAAAACTAATCTAACTTTTCTCAGATGTGTGTGTGGGGGTATTAGTGAAAGAAATGCCTTTATTGTGTGCAATTCAGCATCAACAGAAAGTGCAGCGCAATGAGACAAAGAATATGTAATTATAACAGCCGAAAAAATTTCCGCGTTTAACTTTCGTAAGGCGAGTACCACTGCCACAAACTCAGCCCCAAAAACGGGTATGAAATCAAGTAGACGGAGGGAATAGGACCAATCCAAGTTCGGGCTGAATATACCAACAGCTGACTTTCCATCCCCCTGTGATGTATTTGTAGAAATAATTACCCTTGTCTTTTTTTTTTCCTCTGCAAGTGTTCTTGCAATAAACTATCTAGAGTGTGATGGGGGAGGAACTTTGCATTATTAGAGAAAATGTCGTCAAATTGAATATCCACATGAGGTGAAGTATGGCTAGTGGGCCTTATCTCGCCGATACGTACATTCAGTGGATTCAGTAAACATTGTACAAATATAATTTGTGGGGTGTGAAACCGTGACCCTATAACACCAAAAAATAATCCCAAAGAGGATATTAATACTGTCTGTGACTGCTGGAGTGGTAACTCATAAATTATTAAAAACATCTGAACGGTCAAGATACGAAACCTGTACGAAAGAGAAGGAACTATCAATTAGAGCTATAAAACGCAGTTAGAAACTGTTTTAGGGCGACCAAGGCATAAGCGTAATGATTCTTTTTCCAAAAGAATAAGAGGCTGGAATTTGTATGCTGGAGCACCGGAGAAAAGCACGCATCCAAATTCCGAAACAGGACGAACATACATTAGATATATCATTACTCGCGCCTCTCTTCTCACACCTCTTCAGCAAATGCTTATCCTACGTAACGTGTTGACAGCTCGTGCACCCTTTCCACGTATGTATTGAATGTGTTGGCGCCAGTTTAGAGACGCATTATAAATTACCCCAAGATACTTGTTAGATTCTAACTGCGGTATGTCCTCAGGATGGTAACATAATGAGACGTGCACGGGATATTCCAAGGGGAAGACGAGAGGAGCACATTTACTCGCATTTAGTAAGAATTGTGATTGTCATTAAGCCAATTTTCTAGGGTGAAAAATAATATTGCAGGTGGTCGTACAACGTCTGAATGGTGTCTGCCGTTGCAAAGAAAGCGATAGAGTCTGCATAACCATAAGTTGTTATGTCCTGGTTACGTGGAATGGTCTTTCTCAGCACATTAAATAACAACGGGGACAGCACTGAGCTTTGCGTTTCTCCTCTCGTTTGTGTGTGATTATTGCTCGTTCTAATCATTTGGTAGTGAAAACGCCCTGCTATAAGGCCCGCAAGGACCCTTGATATATTATAAATTAGTGAAAAGAAGTAAACGCCATAGATCAGCAGTCAAACTAAAACTGAAAAAAGCCCGTCAAAGTCATTATTGCAAAGAAACTAACTCTTTGCATGCCTTCCCAATATTCATAGTAGTGTGTAACCTGACGAGAAAATGCTGCGGCAATCGCAAAACAGTGAAACACGCCTGATGTAATCATATCTTCCCTTCAAATGTGCCCTACAAAAATGAGTAACGAGCACTTGTAAAGTGTAGTTGCCCTTATATAAAAACTCACGCTGATGTCTGCTTCCCATAGCATAAAAAGCTCGAAACGAATTCACTAATCAACATAGTGTAAGGTAGTGCACAAACATTCCTATCTACGTTATTAGGAATCTGAAAGATTTTCCCGTGATCGTTGATTGTGAACGGTTCGTCATAGGTTTATAGTTAAAGGTGATTACAGAACTTCATACTTTGGACTCACATCAAATCAGATTAAATTGCAACTTAGCAAGCTATAGCAGTCATCTTTGGTCTTACCTGTTCTATTGTTTCTTGTTATAAGTAGAGCAATATACAGAGAAGTGAAAAAGGCAAAACACACAACAATGCTTATCGGTGTATTGAGTTTGTCAACATCTTCAGCTTTAAATAACAACAAAACTGGGGCATTTCGAGGAGCCTATATCAATGCGCACGATGTTGTAACCTTCAGTTCTCACCGATACATGCGCTTTCTACAGCGAGCGAAATTCTCCTGCCACCAAAACGCAGAGTCTGTCGGACTGGACGCGCCCCGCTCCACCGAATATGTCATTTACCACAGGGCGGATGCGGGACGGATGCGCTGTCACTCGGTTGTTGTCGCTTTTCGCAAACGCCACTACGCTATCCGGTGGTCTAGACTTCAATGATTCTCGAACGCAGCAAGCGATAAGAAGCAGTACTGCTTACTTTGCTGGCAAGTTGCTGTCTTGTAATGCATGAAGAGCAGCAAAAGAAACCCGATGCCAGCGATGTTGATGGGTTCGTCTTGCCCTGCAAGACCATAATGCTTGCTAACAAATAATGCTTGCTAACCAAATCCTCAGCCTTGAATCCAGGAGAAAGTGCTTCCGTCTTGATTTCCTTTCTTCACTAAGTAAAGGTGCACTGTCCATTGACCCATCTCCGTTCTTGTCACCGTTACAAACAAGACCTACTAGGCACCACAACCCGAATGCTTTCGCCCCATATTTTGCTGCTACTGACACCTTCAAGTACTCTTTTTTTCCGCGTACGATACAAGAGTGGAATGAATTACCCCCTGTATAAGTGCCTTGTTTGCTTGTATTGTTTGTATTTTTGCATTTTATCTTCTTGTGCCCCCCTGCTTTGACCTAACAATGGTCTGCAGTATGTATTAAATAAAAAAAAATTAACAAGCTTGGTCACGCCAACGACAAGCTCGGTCACCTCTTTCGTGAATTAGGGACGTGAAGTAGCACAGTGTGTGTTGAACTCCCTGTTGGTTACAACATTTAGTTACGTGCACTGAAACATGACATGTGAGTAGAGCTTGGCTGCTATTTTTGAAGATTCCTTGACTAGCGCCCCTATTGGGCCGTGGCGACCGATTAGGCGACAGGCGCCGCAAAAATCGGCCCGAAAGCGATCGGCGCAGAGAGGGCCCTCTGGCGGATCTCGCTGCCGCCCGGCGCACTTTCAGCGGCCGGATCACTCAGTGTGAACGCACCTAAATGCGATGGTCCCACCGCTTTTTGTTCTAGTATGCAAGCGCTTTAGAAACACACAAAGAAACTAAAAGTGACAGGTAAATTACAATATTACCGCGTTTTATGTCTTCTTTCTGCACACAGAGAAAAAAGAATTTCCACCAGAACATCACCAGAAGAGCGATTTGGCGCACATATGCAAGACAAAGGATTACGTAGTTGTAAGGCCTGGCCAGGTAAGTTTGTCGAGTGATAGATTGAGAAGGATCATTCAGCCATGCGTGCGACTTATATTTAAGAAAAGACCATGATACCTTAAAGCAACCAATGTTTCACAACAATGTGTTACCAATTTCTGACGGGTAGCTGTTGACATTGTACGTTTGCGCATTCATTTGGCTGTGTGGTGTTATGTTACTGAGTCCAGACACTCTCATAGCATTACACCAGTTAAGAAGCCATCTAAGCCATAACGCGAAAACAAAAAAAGTATTAAGAACGACAAAGAAATTTGACCATGTTTGAATACATAGGCGAATTTGCCCGAAGGCAGTGCTGTCGAGCTACTATTTGAATGAACAATCTAGGAACCGGCAAGTGTAAAAAAAGAAACTGAAGGTTATAAACACGTTTGATAAATCAGAAGCAAAGTAAATTTTACTATACAAAAAGAATAAGCCAGAAACGTGGCTCAGAGAATTGGACATCACGTTGAAGCTTGTGCATCAGGTGATCCAGATGTCATGAAATGTAATGCTTGTGTGAAGCTAAGTTACGTTTCTTCTGGCAAAAATGAAGTGTGTTTAGAAAAAATGTTTAACGATTTCGAGTATTTCGTACTCAACTATGGGAGAGCAGTGAGTCATCCCGCTAAAAGAAAAAGCAAAGCATGCAGAGGGAAGGTGACCATGTTGCAAATATTTCATTGAGGGACACAACATTAAATGACGCTCAATATACAAACACATGTCGCACGCACAGGTATACGTTAGTTGCAGATGTTTATATAACCGGCTAGTTGGTTGCACTTGCGCAATGATACCAACTAGAACATGCATATTAGCAACACCAGAAGCTGATATGAAGCGCTGGTGTTTGCGAGGATGTAGCCCTGGGCACTGGTACACAAATTACAAAATCAACTTCAGTGCATGGCAACTAACCACAGTCGACGTTAACCCGGCGTGACGGCTGTATCAAAGGAGTACATGTATAATGTTCATAAAATTGTGTAGGCAGCTTTGCAACCACTATTGACGTTTCATGAAGATTATCGTCTATTTGAAAAGTCGTTCCGAGACCTGGCGTAGCTCTGTGGTAAAATGCTTCATTGCCACGCAGAATGCTTGGGTGCGATTCTAGCTGGGACCCTGACATTTATTCTTTGCATTCGTCGGGGCGAAGCTACCGATGTCGGGTATTGGTTAATGCTCACGCGTTCAAATTGCCCATGTGTTTTCTCGTCGTTCCTGGGTAGTATACTAAGTGTCAATCACCTGTGGCACATACCCGCATAATAGCGGCACATATCCACGAGTGGGTATGTGCCTCTGTCTGGCGGGAAGTGTTTGAGGACGTACGTGACCAAGTTGTTACATTGTTCATCTCTTGACCAGCGCGTCATATTCGTCAAACCATCTTACCCTCCCATACTAATTTTGGTTCACGCCAAGTTAAGGGGTGACCCCGAGAGCACCCAAACGTCAAACGTAAAAGCTGATAGATAGATAGATAGATAGATAGATAGATAGATAAATAAATAGATAGATAGATAGATAGATAGATAGATAGATAGATAGATAGATAGATAGATAGATACGCTCAAAGTCGCCGAAGTTTGCTAAGAAATGCTTCGCATTAA